TGAGGAAATACCAGTATCAGGATGGACTTGCTTCAACACTTTGTAAATGTAGATAGCGTAACTCTCCTTACGCTTGGTACGTCTCTTCGATTTATCGCCCTTGGTGATGTTCTTTTGGGCTTTGCCGGCCTTCTTTGCTGCTTTACCACTGGTTTTAGGAGGCATTTTTCACTTTAATTTTTTTTAATCACACAAACACTTTTAACACTGTTCACAGAATAAAAATACAAGGGCAGCCAACTACATATTTGTAGATTAAAATGTTCAACAATTTCAGGTAGTCACAGCTGCTATGTATAATACATAGCTACACACCCCTAAGTATAGTAATGTGTGTGCGAGAAAAGTATAAATACTACGGGGTGCCAAGGCAATTTTTATCATTCGTTTGTGTGCTCTAGTGAAGTGAAGTGTAAAAGTGAAAATCTGAAAAGTTTAAAGTCAGTGTATATGGAAAGCAGAATTTTGCCAAAAAGGCAAAAAGAGATAAATATTTTGTTTTCAAACAAAAATACTGGCGTTTTGCGGTTTATCCCTCGCAAGTTTGAGAACCGCATAGAAGGCAGAAAACTAATATATTTGCTGTTTGGACACAAGAACGAGTGGATAAAGAGGTGGTTGTTATACAGAACAACAAATTAACTCCGCTGGCGGGAAAAGTCAACCCCGCTAGCACTCCTGAGCCGATGTCGACATTTTCTGACGGCGGCAATAATAATATGGAGAAGGCTACCACCAGTAAGGCGGCTTTGGCCGCGATGCATAATATTGATGGTACAACAACTGTGAGGAGTAATCCCATCAGCCTTTCGGGATATTCCGTCAACGACGTTATGTTGACAGGAAATGACACCAATGCAGAAGCCGAATTTTCGACAGACAGCGTCGAACCCGAAAAATGTAAAAAGAAAGGAAAGAAGCGCAGAAGTAGTCGCTCTGGCTCTTCATCCCCGTACGAAAATATTAGGCTTGAGGCTACCATCATACAGCTTCAAAAAGCCCTTGCTCGTATAGAGCAACTAGAAGAAGTCAATAAAAAATTAACGGCGGAATTAGCTGCCGTAAAGCAGAATATGTGCCCAAAGAATGACACGGCACAAATGTTATCTGATGATTGGGCCACCGAGGCAGCCAGAGAACTCGGTGGGAATTCTATGGAAGAAGGGGCTATCGAGGCAGCCGAAGACCTCGGTAGCATTATGAAGGATGTAGGTGTTGTAAAGCCGGCAGCACCCAACGGGGGAATAAATATTTTACCTGTTCCTAATATTAGGGATGACGAAGCATCATTCCCTTGGCTGGAAGTGAGGACAAAGAAGACTAAAAATAAAGTTAATTTGAATGCAGACAAAGCGGAAATAAAAGCATCAGCAGCAGTACCAGCATCAACAGCAGCACCTATGTCAATTGCAAATCCAATGGGCACAAAACAAAGCACGAGTTCCGGGAATGGCGGTGGTGGCAAATCATCTATGCCGTCCTTTACCATATATGATGTCGGCTCGCGGGCTATTTACGACACTCTTCGGCAGTCGCTTTCTCCAGGTGAGTTTAGCATCTTTATTGTTCGAAATGGGGTCGTTTCTGTTCGTATAAAGGGCCTAGAAAACTACAACACAGCCAGGAGTTTATTTGTACATGAGGGATACAAATTCCATACCCATACACCTAAGCCCCTCTTGCCATATTCTGTGCTAATAGAGGGTTTAGGAAACGATTATAGCAAGGAAGAGATAGTAGCCTTCCTTACTAAATTTGAATTTAATATAGAAATATTAGGTCTTTTTAATGTGTCGTACAGGAAATGGATCCTAAGATTATCCAGGTCTTCAAATATAGAAGAAATATATAAGATTAGGAAAATTTTTGGAAATGACGTTAAAATACGAAAAGATAAAGGCAGATCATTTATCCAATGTTTCAACTGTCAAAGGCTGGGGCATGTTGCGAACAATTGCACAATGCCCATCAGGTGCAACACATGCCTACTTAAGCATGCGAGAGGTCAATGCTCCATCCCACCAAAAGATAAGGAGATATTAATAGAAAAAGTAAATCCCACCACTGGTGAGGTAGTTTTGAAGCCAGCACAGCCCTGTGCATGTGTCAATTGTGGAATAGAAGGACACGCAGCAAGCTCTAAAGAATGCCCGAAAATTGTCGCCTATATGGCCAATAAGGCCAAAAATCGGGAAGCCTCAAAAACTAAAGCTGAAAATAATTCAGCTCGTCTAGCAGGTCTTCGCAGCAGCATATCATATGCTGCTGCAACCCGTGGTCGCGCTCCCCCAGCAACCCCTAACGTACCAATTCGTAGACCTCACCCTGTCCCTCCCCAAAATTTAGGACAGGATAATTTCCTCAAAATTGCCGAATTTTTCGGCAATGGATTCGAAAATAAATTCTCTAAAGCTAGGTCATTTGGCCCAACATTTCAGAAAATTATGTCTACCGCCGGCATCGAAGCAGCATTGTCTGCTTGGATGATATTTTCAGCCGCAAATGTTGAACTACAATAAATGCGTTTTCGTGAATGTCAACTCCTTAATAGCTATATCTAGGAGGTATTTTTTAAAAAATTTAATCGACGAAAGGAGACCGGATATTTTAATGTTGGCAGAGCATAAGCTCACGTCATATCACAAAATACATATTGATGGATATAAATGTTACTGGCAATTTAGAGAGAGTGTTCACCGTGGGGGAGGAACTGCTGTCTTAGTGAGGGATATATACCGATCAGAAAGGATCTCTATTGAAACAGGAAACATTGAGGCATGTGCGGTAAGAGTTTGGACTGAGAACGGCTCTTCAATCGCCTTTATTTCTCTGTACTTACGTCCTCATGTCCCATTCCAAGTTACAGATTTAGACTCTATAACAGAGCTTTATAGCAGGGGTGAGGTATTGGTTGGGGCTGACTTAAATGCAAAGCACCAATTATGGGGTGGCTCAGAAGTAGATGCCAGGGGTAGAATGCTAGCCAGATATCTGCTAGATTATCCATTTTTTGATTTTTGTAGGTCAGATATTCCAACTAGACCTAATGGCACCTCAGGGTCATATATTGACCTTTTTCTAAGAACGGCTGGTCTTCCATTCAGAGATGGGAATAACACCGTCGTTGCATTTGACTATGAGTCAGACCACAGAGGGATTGAGGCAGAGGTGCTTGTTGGTCAGCTTGAAAGGTGTGAAAAACGCGTATTTCGGAACTTTGACCGTACAAATATAGTACGCTATAGGAGAGAGCTCCGACTAGGTTTGCAGAACTGTTGTTTACCTGTCAATAGAAATGTGTCCGAGGAAGAAATAAACAAATGCATTGAGGAACTGAGTACGGTTTTCCGTGGTGCGATCGAGATTGCGGTCCCGAAAAAGAGACACAGACCAGGATCACTAGAGGATCTGCCCCTGAGAATTGTCAATTTTATGCGAGAAAGGCGGAGATTATGCCGCACCCTTCGAAGGTCAGGGAACCCTGAGAGGCATGCAATTCTCAGGGCTGATATACGCAATCTCGATCGCATTATTGAGGATTGTATTCGAATCTTCCGACATGATCGATTTAGAGATTATCTCGAAAACATTAGGACGAACAGCAAAACATTTCATAATGTTAAGACAGCAGCAGGTTTGCAAACTAGGGAACCGGTCGGAACTCTTACTGATCCCTCTGGAACACCTATTACAGGAGATAGACTTAAGGCTGAAGCCTTGGCGGATTTCGTTCAGGGCGAGTCGCAGGCTGCAGGTGACCTTTTGGGAAAATTCTGGAAATGGTAATACAACAACGAATCAAACGTGATATTGAGGATAGAAATATCCTGAGAAATTGTCAATTTGGTTTTAAACCGGGGCACTGTACAACACACGCTCTTGCCTGTTTTACGGACTATGTATCGAAGGGGCTAAATAAGAAAAATGGAACTTTGGCTGTCAGCCTAGATTTTTCTAAGGCATTTGATAGGGTATGGCAACAGGGAATCATCTACAAATTACAGTCTTTCGGCTTTAGTGAACACATTTGTAGTATGGTGAAAAGCTTTCTTGATGGGAGACATTTCATGGTTAAAGTGGGTGAAAAACGATCAAGTCAAAGACAGGTATTAGCAGGCGTGCCACAGGGATCTATCTTGGGACCCCTACTATATAACATCTATGTAAGTGATATCCCTGGACCACCCCAAGGTGGACTTCTTCTAATGTATGCGGACGATGTACTTATTGCCTTCAGAGGACCTCTCGCAAAAGCGGTCAATAGAAAAATGAACACTTATCTGCAAGAATTAAGTGTATATTTCGATAGATGGAAACTTCAACTGAATGTTGCGAAATGCCAATCAATTGAGATCTGGCCTTCAACGCATTGACAGATTCTTGGTCAAAAGTGGCCTTAAATTTGTAGAAAAAAGTCAAAATATTAACAACGAGATGATAAGGAGCTCATTAATAAGCAATGACGACCCTCCCATTCTGGAAAAAAGACATCTCTCTCCCGCCGACCTTACTAAGCTTCGAGATGAAGGAATACTTTATGATAATAATAGTAATCTCCTATTCTACCATAGAAGATACAAAACATTTAATATTACAGACACAGTGTACATTACCTCACAATAATGTATGTATTATTATGTAAATATTGTATATAATTGTAGTTTAAGTATAGATTTAAGATTAGTATTAAGCCTAGATTTAAGATTAGATTTAAGACAAATTTTCAAAAACTATATGAACTAGCTCTTTTTAATAATCCTTTTTTGAGCTACTACTAATGACCATTAACTTAAAAATGTATGATGATGTGTAAACAGTAAAACTGTTACACTATTATAACAAAATCAACTTGTTATATGTAAATTGATATACCTAGGCTTAAGAGATTTCAAAAATCCCAAGCATATATTAAATTGAATTTAAAATAAGCCAATATTTTCTTTGTAACAATATATGGATTAATAAATGGCAAATTTAAAAAGTTAAAAGTTAAAAAAGTTGAAATTTTTATCATTCTGTGTTTTTCAGTGCTAAGTGAAGTGTTTAAAAATAAAATAAAGTGAAAATGTCTGGTCGTGGTAAAGGTGGCAAAGTTAAGGGAAAGGCAAAGTCCCGTTCCAATCGTGCTGGTCTTCAATTCCCCGTCGGTCGTATTCATCGTTTGTTGCGCAAAGGCAACTATGCTGAACGTGTTGGTGCCGGTGCTCCAGTATATTTAGCCGCCGTTATGGAATATTTGGCTGCTGAAGTTTTGGAATTGGCTGGTAATGCTGCTCGTGACAACAAGAAGACTCGTATCATTCCCCGTCACTTGCAATTGGCCATCCGTAATGACGAAGAATTGAACAAATTGTTGTCTGGTGTTACTATCGCCCAAGGTGGTGTATTGCCAAACATCCAAGCTGTTCTCTTGCCCAAGAAGACCGAAAAGAAAGCCTAAATTATTGCGAAAGGTATTATGGAGTGAATACAGACCATCGTATAAAACACAAAAAATCCATACAAAATCAACCAATCCGTCCTTTTCAGGACGACAAAAAATATTTAAAAAGAGAAAAAATCATTTCAAACAATATTATTTCATTAGTTACATTTATTAAAAATAAAATAAAAAAAAATCCAAAAAATATAAATTTTTCTCCTTACAGCATTACATTTGTCTTTTATGAGACGAAATACATTTATTGTAGTCACATTTGAGTTTGCTTAAAATTTGTTGTTGTTTGCCGTTATAGTTCGAGGTATTTTGAAGAAGAAGAAGCATGCTTGTGTTATGTTGTTTTTGCAAGGGAAAATTTAAAACGAAGAAGAAAGAAGAAGAATAATACAGTTATTCCTGTTGATCAGTAGTACAGCCTGCTTGTATGACTCACAAAAAATAACCAATTTTGGGAAGGCAAAAAAGAGGAGAATTGAAAGAGTTTTTTTGCATTGGAAAGGCAGTTGTAGTTGAAATAAAATTATAGAATAAGGAAAATAAAATGAAAATTTTTAGGAGTTTGAAAAAAAAAATGGAATTGAAAAATAAATTAAATAGGAAAATTAGAATGAAATTAATAGAAAATATTAAAATTAAAAATAATAAATTAAAATGAAAAAATATGAAATTTATAGGGACATTTAATGAAAATTTGAAAAATTTTTCGAAGATAAAAAGCGATTTTAGGAGTTATTTTTTGAAAAATAAAATGAAATAAATTACAAATTAAATAATTTTGAATAAAAATTTACATTTTAGAAGAAAAAAAAACATTTTTTTTTTTTTTTTTTTGAAAAATAAATTTAAATTTGTTTAGAAAAAATTATTACGAAAATAAAAATGAAATTGGTAGAAGTTTGAAGAAAAAATGGAATTGAAAAATGAATTTAATAGGAATATTTTAATAAAATTAGAAAATATTAAAATCAAAAATATTAAATAAAAATGAAATTTATATGGACTTTTAATGAAAATTTTTGGAAAAATTTTAGAAAATGAGAAGCGATTTTATGATTTTTTTTTTGTTTTGAAAAATAAAATGAAATAAATGGAAAAAAATGTTGAATAAAATTTGATATTTTAACAGAAAAATGAAAATATTATGAACAAACAAGCAACGGCATTTAGAAATGCGAGTTGACGGCGGCATTTTTATATGGAAATATGTTCGAAGGAAGAAAATTTTTGTTTTTTGATAGAAATTTAGCGAAATTAAATAAGATTGTAATGAAAATGATGAAGTAAATTTTAATTGAATAAAAAAATAAAAAAAAAATAAAAAATTTTCGATTTATAAAAAAATTAAATAAATTTTTTACGAATATTTTCGAAAATAAGTAGAAAAATTTAGAATTCATTACAAATAATTTTAATTTTTTAATGAATTTTCTTGAAATGAGAACGTATTGATTTTTTATTTTATTTTTGAAATTGAAAACACTGATGTGAATAGTCATGGCATTGCTTGTTGTTCTTTAACGTTATGTACTAA